AAAAAAAAAGGCAGCGACGAAATATAAAAATGATCGTTAAAGTCGAGATAAGGGAAAAAGTTGTAAAAATAAAAATAAATGAGACTCATGGAGATAAAAGCTATCGACAAAAAAAAAAAAAAAAAAAAAAAAAAAAATTAGAGATTGCGTACCGTAACTATAAGAGAGAAACCGTTAGAAATCGCAAACACGATTGCGACGTGAAAATATAAACTTGCAACATGTACAGTTCAGGTAAAAAATTCTTTTCTCGAGCTTCAGTCTAACAATTAGGAAATACGAGGAAAAACCCTCAAAATCGTTACTTGGACATTTTCAAGTGCATACCCCACCGATGGTTACAATCCGAATCTGATATTAAAGGTTATCAATCCCCAGATTTAAAAAACGGCTCAAACCCACAGCCCACTCTTATATTATATTCCGAGCAAATCCATTACGTAATTAACAATGAGATCGAAATAAAAAAAAAAAAAAAAAAAAAAATTATCCGGAATCAACCCTGCAGGCTTGCACAATTCGGACAACGAGCCACGAGCGAGATTGAGATTTATGAATACCGCACATGCATGGAGGAACGAGTTTCATTGAGAAAGAGAGAATAAAAGCACATGTTGCACAACGAGTGTGAAACACAATGTACTATATATACCACGTGAGAAGGCGCGCCTGAACGGCGGGGGATCGCGGGCAGCGTCGGTCCGAATCGCGTAGTAGACGATGTAGTCGCGCCACTTTTTCTCCAAGATCTGGACGTTCCTCGGCTCGTAATCGACGTGGGTCCACTCGAAATCCACCGGACCCTCGCACTCCTGGCCCTCCGAATATTCCGGCATCGTGCACTATGGACTATATACGCGCTCCTGACACCGGGCACCGACTGACGTGTACGACTAATATCGGAGGCACAGCCCGCGGTAATTTCTTATCGCCGTCGAAAGGGCCTATTGTATTTCGATGATGTTGCACTACTCTCTTCTCACACGTGTACACACACGCGGCAATGGTCTGCACCTTTTTCGACACTTTTACTTTTATCGGCCCTCCACGTAAATCGCACACACGCACTCGCTAAATCTCTCTTACATTCGCACAATGGAAAAAAGAAATCGCTCGCAATTCATATCCGTATAGCCACAAATAGGCGCGTTTGTCTCCAATGTCAACTCGATGTGGGTTACTAGATGTTTGTATACACTTTTACGAGGCGCGCGATCGACGGTGTTTTGAAAGTATGTGTACACTTGTCACCACGTATAGTTCACGGGGCACGAGTTACAATGTGCAGCCATCCGGGCTTGACCGAGCACTAAACCCCGACTCGTTCAAAGAGTCACCTCGACGTCCAAGGTACAAGTACCTACGCGAAAGTGACATTGACAGACGCGTATACGTATAACCTAAACCCGAGTTGTTTTAGTTTATAACAATAACAAGTTGCACCGCGGGCCGAACGTTTACCCGTTAACTGATGCAGCGACAGTGATGACACTGGACGTTCAATGAAGTATAATGGTGAAGAGAGCAACAACGGTCAAGTGTAAGGTGTGCGACTCTCCGTACGTTAGGTGTATTATGATATCCACCGGTTGACTCGTAAAAACATATATATATATGTACGCGCGCACACTTTGACACGCCACTGATGTAGAACGGTAGGTGTTATCTAAATCACCTGCTTCCAAGTAGAATAAAAGATAATGGCTTCGCGGTTTTTTTTTTTTTAATCTATGTTACACATCGATATATATAATATAATATAATATATATA